TAGAACAAGGAGAAATGGCCTTAAGCTGCACTGCGGGAGGTTCAGCCTGGATATTGGGAAGAATTTCTTTACTGAAAGGGTTGTCAGGCACTGGAACAGGCTGCCCAGGGAGGTGGTGGAGTCACCATCCCTGGAGGTGTTTAAGAGACAGGTAGATGTTGTTCTTAGGGACATGGTTTAGTGGTGCTGGTAGAGCTAGGACAAAGGCTGGACTAGATGATCTTGAAGGTCTCTTCCAACTGAAATTGTTCTATGATTCTAATTGTTAAGGAATGCTTCCTCTGCATTTCAGCTTTCTCCACAGCCATCTTCCCTTAAACCACGTCCATTTTTCTCCCACTTCATTGCATGGGGAAAACAAGATGAACATGGGTAGCTCTCTCCCTACTAAGTACAATCTCTTTTGTGTGAATTGTCCATATTTCAGTAGTGTAGCAAACAGACTGTCCTCCAATCTCCTTTGTGTCTTTCATACCTTCCTGCAGAATGAAAAAAAAAAATCATAGATGAACACATGCACTTGTCACTTCTTTGAGCTGTTTCTGTTCCAAGAAACTGGCAAGCCAGTAAGTGGTTTATATATCATAGAATGATTTTTGTTCCCCCTTTTCTATGTGTACTTATTACGTAAGATAAAAAAGGAGAAGGTACCATTTTCTAGCCTACTCTCTATTAATGAGAAGACAGAAAAGACCCTGAAGAGATGACTTAACATCTCTGACTCAATGGAGGTTTCTCCAAACGGAAATGTATATGGTGTTGCTCTGTTGAAAGCCAAAGAACTTTTTTTTTTTTTTAAATTTGGAAGTGTAAGAAACAACTTTCAATATGCTAAGCAGCCTACTCAAGGAAATTTGCATTCCATGAAGGATTTGGGCTCCAACTCAAGTTGCTTACATGAAAACTTTTAAATCACTTTCTGTCCCAGTAATCAGCTTTAATCAGATGGTATAGTGAGTTTTAACATAGTCAGGATGTGGTTCTCTGTGTTCTAAAGACCTCTGTAGGTTCAGCAAGAAAAATTTAAAGGTATATAGTAGCTTGTACCAATGTATTTGCCAACTATAACTTCATATAAACAATTTGTCAAAACAAAATCACTGTGTTAAGATGATACATTAATTTTAAAAATGCTGATAATTGTGGGAATTTAATGCTTGCAAATCTCTGCTGTTAGGACAAAAATCCTATACAAGTAGGATTCTAACTACCAAAGGCTACCCCATGTTGACCGCTCTACAGCCACCAACAGTCAGTAGTAGATTGAAGAGTTATTAGGAAAATAGAAGTTTATGATAAGCTTAACTCTTCAGTTGCATGGAAGCCACTTCCTGGTATAATTCTTAACAGCTGATCAGTCACACGAATTGAAAAATGATCTTAGCTGAAACTCGAGACCTCAATCTAATTTCATGAAAGTTTGCTGCATGGACTTTCTTTTCTCCCATTCCTGGATCAGAGTGGCTAGCTTATTCTGTCATCCATTCCACAATTTCCATGTGGCAAGTGCTTGCAGGGATGAACAAGTAACCGGAGAGATTAATATTAATGTACTGCTGTTGGAATTTAGCAGCCCAAAAATCTGTGAGAAGATTTACAAGCTGGTTTACTACAGACCACCAACAGATAGTTTGTATCAAGTATTTTGTTAGTAACCACTGTTATATCTGAGTTCTAATACAACAGGTTTTCTTTAGGTAGGTGGTGTATGGAGGTCTATCACTACACTGACATAGTCTTCTTAATTTGTAGTGGTTACAAACAGATCATGAACTAAGCTTGAGGAAACTAATAGAGGGTTCAGAGTATCAAGAGGAACTGAAGTATGACTTCAATATTAAAGGAGAACTGAGGCATCTGGATACAAATGAGTCCTTTGTTTTTGAGTATTACAAGAATGCACATGAGAAGAATCATAAACGCTACCAAGTTTTGCAACATTTGATTACCCAATATGTTTATGAGCTCCTGGAAAGAGTCTGCATGCTGCAGAAAATTTATATTCCTACTGATGCAACAGAGAATGAACCAAGGAGTTTCTTTTTTGTGAGCGAGAATGCACTAACAAGTTCCTCTAGCCTAATTGTCCTTCTTCAAGACCGTGGAGTTTTCCGTGCCGGACAGTGGGGGCACAGAACAATTGTCAGTGAGGGCCTGGGGCATGGAACACAAATACCATTCATCAAAATGGCCCTTCAAAGCCACAAGGGAGTGATTGTACTGAATCCCAATGACAACTTCATTGATCTCAAGACTGAAAAGGAGAGGTTAAGCTTTTCTACCAGGGAAGAATCACCAACTTCGAAGCAGTCCATCTGGTGGATCCCCAAGAGAGGCAGCAGCAGCCCTGAGGAACATACCATGTATGTATGGGATCATTTTATTTCAAAGAGCGCAGCCAAGAATGTGGCCTTCGTTGCCCATGGCTATGGTGGCTTGGTGTTCGTTGATCTGCTGGTGCAGAGAAAACAGGAGGTCATGAATAAAGTGTACGCTGTGGCATTCATCGACTCCACGCACAACACACGGCACCAGGCTAGAAGCGATCCACAAGCACAAGAGTGGATACAGAAAAACTGCCGTGAATGGGTGTCAAACAGTAAGCCTCTAGATAAAGCTGTGGGTTCTCTCGTGAAAGTGAATTGTACTGTCTCTGCTGGAACGGAAAAGTACAGTTTAGCACCCTCCTGTTGCTTACACGCCATCTTTAAGTACCTGAAGAATGTGCTTAAAGCCAAGACCACAACAGCCATTAGGCACTCACCTGTTATAACCAGAAGCCGCGCAAGGAAGAAGTGAGGCAATAAAAAAAGGTATGCTGATTTGTTCTGGATAGTGGTCTCTTCCTTTCATAACTGTCCCTGCACCCTTCAGTCAGCTAAGGACCCTCCTCTCACCATGGAGCAGCTTACAGTTTGAAGTTTGAAGCTTGTTTGTTTGTTTGTTTTTGAGAAACACACAAATACAAGTTAACTGTTAGGAAAGAAGTGCATTGTTGAAAACTTCAAGCCACAACCCTTCAGCTAGCTGTGAAATTTAAAGTTGCACAAAATAAAGAAGTTAAGGTATGCCAACTCTCATCTGTATCATTTTTTAAATAAACATTCTGCAAGTATAGCTCTATAATCAGACTAAACTACCAGGAAAATACTCGCTTCTTAAGTGCATGGCTTTCATTAAAAGGACAAATCCAGAACACAAAAGGCATGCGAAGGATCTATTTCCTCCCCACTATATACAATATCATGTTTAAAAATTTTTTGAGAGCTGGAACTTCCACCTTCCTCCTTGAAATGTTTACTGTTAAGTTGAACAATACTTCAGGGAGCTATATACTGCTACCTTCCCTGCAGTCAGAGATAGTATGGCCCAAACATGATACCATGAGCTAAAGTCATTTCTGTTTTAAAGCCAACTAAGCCAGTGAGATTACCGGGCATGAGCTGCTATAGAAATACAATACTCTAGCAACCTGCCATTACCAAACTGATGCAAAAGAATGACATTGCTGTTTTCTCTCAGCTGTTTAATTTTAGACAGAGGTGGGAAATAGAGACAGTTTTTAAATGTCCATACTCAAGGTTTGCAATTTATACAAGCAGACGGTCAAATAACCTTTAAAGTGAATGTAAACAAAATGGTTATTCTGAATTTCTGGTTTAATCCTGTGGGAATTAAAAGTGCTCCGTGGCTGCAAAAGAGCTTTGAAGGATGACAAAACTTTGTCCTACACCTTCAGTTCCCATCTCAGCCAAAAAAATTTCCATGCTAATACTGGGTACCAGAGAGGAGAGAGTGTCAACTTCCCTTTTGTGTTTACATGCATTTCAGATTTCAGTCATCTCCTACTGTTTGGAAAAGCTTCCATCCCCTTATCCAGTAATGGGTAAAAGTGTAAAATTCCATTGCAAAGGTACAGTCAGTTAAGAGCAAGCATAGCTTTTAAAATAAAGATAGGTTTCCTGTTACTACATCTGAATGAAAATGGTACTAAATAGACAGTTAATACACTATATGATGTCTTAGTTCAGTGCCTTAAGGTTGCACTGGAGATGCCATCATTGAGTATGCGTACAACCAGCCTGTTTTGTAGGTGCTAGTCATCATGCAACTCAAAGAACAGTCACGTGAATTCTGTGTGTGAACATGTAGCTTTATTTACAAGAGAAGTACGAGGTGACAGAATGTCTGTCTTCAGAAGGAGACCAATATGATCCTTCAACATAAATGCTCAAACTGTCCCACGGTCTCAGAAGTGGCTAAAAATGCTTGAAGAAGGAAAAAAAAAGGGATCTAGAACATCGGCCATTTCCAGAATTCCTTATCTCAGGTCAACCCATTAAATTCCTTGGTAGAGAAGGTCGTATTTAGGAATGTTATTGGGATCAATGGGACTTCTCACAATGAGCTTTCCACGCATTGCTCCACGGTAAATCACTTCAATGAGATCTATAAAGTCTTGCTTTGTTTTGAAGCTTCCTACAAATTTGGTATGATCTGGAGACCTAAATATAAGCATAAGACAAAGGTAGAATTGTAACATTATAAAGTGTTCAATGCAAAACCAGCTGAAAATGAGAAAAGACATACAATGACATTAGGGGTTCTGATCTGGTCATTCTGAAAGAACGAATCACACTGGTAATGGCATAACCAAGTTAGCAGTATACTGTGACCTCCAAAGTCCAAAAACGTGCACTATCAGGTCTAAGAGTTCAAACATACTATTTTTTATGGAGTCACGCATGGTTGGCAGCTGACACCTACTTATTGCATCACAGCATATTTCAAAACACTTCTTAATTTTACATCCTTCTGGCTTCCTACACAGCTCTCAATGCAGATGCTGGTAACATTATAGTTTTCAAATGTTACCTTCCCCAGACATGGTAACACAGCGAAAGTCTGGCAATTCTTACAGATACAATAGATAATGCCAGGCAGGATGACATACCCATAATCAACCTTCATGTGTTGTCCATTGAAGAAAAATACAGTAGATGGAATATAACTGATGTCAAAATACTGGGTGTACACTGGAACCCTGTTCACGTCCACCAGGTAAATGACTGCCATTTTGCTTAGGTCATGAGCAGTCTTTGCAAGCTGAAAAGAGAAAGGCGGATGACAAATGGATTGAGACGCAAGAGGAAAAAAGGGTGACAAGCTTTATAAAGCCCATTTCTCTTACCTCTTACCAGTTTAAGCAGGGCTAGAATATCATGTCTTATCTACTTCAAGCACTTTGTACACCCACTACAGTAACATAAATATTTCCCTTATTTTCAAACCATTTTATGAATATAATTTCATTTTACATTTAATTGTCACCAAATTTTTCATGAGACGCCATATTAGCCAAAATAACATTCTCTTGTATGCCACAGGTATACTAGTAGAGTTCACTAAAATTAAAAAAAAAAAAAAAAAAAAAAAGAAGAAAAAAATTGGCTCTTACAATATCATCGAGCTGCAGACAAACAGCATCGTTATCTTTTCCAAACCGGAGAACCAAAACCTTCTCAGCCACGGTTTTTATTGCCTGATCCACCTCCCTCTTACAGGTCAGTTTGGGCAGCAGAAAACTCATCCTGACAAACCACCGCTTCCACTAAAACCCCTACAGTCGGGGAAAACAAAACAAAACCTGCGTCAAAAATAAACGACGCTTCAATCTTAATTAAAAAAAAAAAAAAAAAAAAAAAAAAAAAAAAAGAAAGAAAGAGAGAGAAATCACCGACCACCACACCGGGCTGACAAACCCCTGGGGCTCCAGCGTTTGCCTCCAGCCCCAGCCCATGGCGGCAGGCCCAGGCCTTCCCCCCGCCCTCCCCTCGCCCCGCACCAAGGGCCGCAGCAGAGCCCCACGGGCAGCCCTCACCAGGGCCCGGAGGCTCCCTGCGGGGTCCCGGTGCAGACCAGCC